AGTGACACAGAATATCGATGAAGTTTTTAAAGAGAAAGGGCTCAGAAGTCAACGAATAGGTACACTCATTTGACAAACAAGTATTGACACAAATAAGACATTCTTTCCTACCATCTGATATACGTCTATCCCATGTTTTCCTGTTGTGTCATCTCAATGCATAATAACAAGACACTACTGAAGCAGGCTAATGCGTAATGAAGGCGTAGGTGGATACTAGATCATTGCTTTCTATGCCAAACTCTGTTCCTGGTTACTGTCATATTACTTAATCTTCATCATAACACGTTGTTAATTCCGCATTTTGTAGTCGCATATTTTACAAAATTTTGGTTTAATTATGTAGGTAAACATTTGTTGCAGTTTCACACGGTACTTTTCTCTCTTAGCTGCACTCCTTTGTGACATTTTTAGTTTTATGTTGTAGATTTAGAGGATTGGTCTGTTGTCACCCAACGGACCTAGTAAGTCACCATTACTCCATGCGTTTGTCATTTAAACATAGTTTGTTTTAAAGATACTATTCAGGTTCTTTGCTATACCTTCATTCAAGATCATTTTTCACATAACACCAATATACTAAACAAAAATATGACAACAGTCTTGTTAAGAACAAACCCAATAACATTTCGAAAGTAATCGTAAAGGATTAATACGCCCAATTACTTACGAAGGATGTTTACCTATCAGCATTTATTTATTAAAACTCAGGAAGATAAAACGTAAATATCAACGACATATTACATTGTCGATTACCGTTTTTATCAATATTAATAAATGTTAACCTTACAAGAATAAATGAGGAACATACAATGATACTTTTATTTGTAATCTGTCGCCGCAAGGCTAATTTATCTCAGTAATTTGGTTCATTTGTAATCATTACTGGATTATTTCTCAGATTACTTATCTACTGTGTGGTTGGTCGAAGGGTTATGCGATTCTTGGGTCAACCTGAGTATTATTGGGCTTTTTGTTTTCATAATTTACCGTAACAGCTCGGCTATATGATCTTGCCAATTTATTCATCGGTAATGCTATTAAATTTGAGGAATGGCTATATTATTCAGTTTTATTCATACATGTACCTATACAATTAATTATCAAACAAAACTTTGTAGAATACTTATTCACGTTCCATTACGAAATGGTACAACATATTGGCCTTAGGTTCACCTAACTGGTACCGATAATAACTGTTACTTAGCCAGAACAAATAATTACAGTTGTTTATTGAAAATTATAGATATTAGTGGAAGCTTCGGGGTAGGGCTTTTCGATGCACGTAAAGGTTATGTAGATTCCAAATAAATAAAATATTGTGACCAACTTATTGGTTAACGAATCACGAGAAGTAGCACAAGAAAACCGTACAGATTTGACTGCCTCATTGGTTCGTCATTGGTTGGTAGTCAAAAGCGTTATTATCTTTCTATTAATTAAGATCTCATTATATTTCCTAGGAATACAACCGTCTTTGACAATAAATTGCAACAATTGTGACAATAGACAATATAAATAATACTGATTGATATTTTGAAGGAAGTATAAATAATTTCATAACTAAAACGATGATGATCGACAGGTCGTGACGTTCTGTTTGAAGTATTGATAACAATGCAGTGTTCCTATTTATACACACATATAGTAAGATGAACTATTGACTTTCCTTTGAACTTCCTCGGGTAGGAACAATATTGTGACTTGTAACCAATTTAACAAGCAGTAACTAACCAAATTCTATTGTAAATATGTGACAATCACACTAAAGTAATACATAGCTTTCAATTTTTTGCTACCCATTCGAGAATCGATGAAAAAAATAAGATTTTCTTAATTGACATACTAAGGTAACTATAGCTTCTATCGATGAAAAAATGATAAATATCGAAATGTTTATAGTCTTCAACAAAAATTTGCTGAAATATCGAATACATAGTTTAGCTTCTAGCTAGCAGTAGTCACCGATTATTAACACGAAATGCAAGTTTATATGTATATATACCGTACTTTAAATAAGTTTTAATTGATTCCAATACCTTTCAATTATATGAGTGAAGAAATCAATTTCTATTTTAATTAATTTATGTACAAATTCAGATACTGACATTTTTACGAGTACAATAAATCATGCCGGTCGCCTTAAGGCAAATCTGTGTGCTTTATAACGAATGCAACCTTTTATTAGGTAACCGTTTAATAAGTACTGTTAAGTTTGCACTTTAATGCGATTTTCGCTTGCAGTTTTTATAAGATTTATGTTATATTGTTAGTAAATATTGCAGAATGATTCAAATTAATAGCGACTTTTCCTGTATTTGCTTACTATTAAAACAGTAAAACGATGATATACAATTGTGAAGTACGTTTAGCATCATATTCTAAACAAACTATACCCAATATTATTTTATCTCAAAGCATAAATATAAGAAATATCCCATTGTTCTGTATTGATTAAACTATTTCTTAGTGGACGTTGTCTTAATCATCAGCTGATCGCAAAATTGCATAAATTTTAATCTTGATAAATATTGATTAAGTTGTATCCGGAAGCTTAACAACAAAAGCAAAATCAATTTAAAACTGTATATTCCAAAACTAAAGATTAATCTCGCAGACAGATGGAGAGATAACGTTTCCTCGCTAAAAACTTAAATTAATATTTGTAAAAGTGCAACTAAATTATATAACTGAGAGTATTGTCATTTATCCTTATTGTAGATCATCAAAATGCAACCAGGAAGCGTCATTTTCTGCAACAAACGTCACGAATCACGAACAATGTTCACGAAACTGACGTTCCTCTAAGTTCCTTACGTGTCATTGAGTCACGATAATGGATAGTTCATCAATATACACGAAAGTAAATAGTTCACACTTAATTTAACTCATTTAACAGTTTTGTATACTTTAATTTATAAATCCATGGCAATGTACCACAACATTTTTAAAATTCTCGCACTAAGACTAAACTAGAGCTTGTATTTGGCGTAAGGCAATAATTTAGACTAATCAAAAGAATCGTAACGAAACTAATTAAAACTAATATTAAAATTTTACCCTATATTTATCTATCCATCATTGTATGATTTTTGCTACCAATACATAACTGTTTGATTGATTAAAAAGATGAATTTGAAATCGATTTTCACAGTTATAGTTAGATTAGTAATTGTTTTCTGAGTAGTTACATAAATATCATTCGAAGGCAAGAATTCCAGTAAAATCTTCGCACATTTTACAACGCTGATTCAACAAACAGACTCATAGTCCTTTGTCCTCTGCAGTAATCTTCTAAGGAATGTTCGAGATTGAGGTACTAGTATTTCAATCGCTAAAATTCCATACACAATTATCTTGTCCCAAAATAGGTGTCCCAAAATAGGTGTCGCAGTCAACTGATTACTTCAAACCTTGATATGATTTGACAATCTTGATAACCTAGTATTTTGGAAATATTACAAAATTAATTCTTTCAAAATTTCATTGTGAACAAAGCCATATTCTGTGTGAAGATAATCATCTAAATTGATTGACAGAACGAGCTATTCTTTCAGTACAGATAAAACTAGACTTAGGTAATAATTTAACTGTAATTGCTTAGACTTTTTTGGTTGCCTTCGAAATGTGATGAAGTTATACCAAAATTTTTTTATTACCGGTACCAATACATTAGCACAAGTGATAAAATATTGAATTTATATCTTAATTCAACACTACATATATTTACATCTTACTTCGTGGCTTAAAACCACAAAGTGATTATAACGTAAAGTGTAATGTAAGAACATACTTTAGTGGTGACAAGAAACCAGTCGTGTGTAACAGAAACGATTAACAACTTACCGTCATACAAATGTCTATATTCATCGTATATTTTAATTACTTTTTTATTGCTTTTGTTATTGTACATAATTACTTTTTTGGTTATTTCTTATGGCGGGAATTTGGCGCCGCGTGCCGAGATACAGGCTCACGCCTAGTTCGGTCGCGGATGCTCGTTCTGTTAGTTGTAAGATAACTGTGATAAGTATAAGTCCTAATCTGAAACTATGAATTGTAACCACTATTGAATAAATATATGAATTGTAGGTCTTAAATCCTGTGTAAAATATTATACTGAATCGTAAATTAGATTTATTCAAATGTATATTACGTTCTTGTTATTTTTACCCAATGGTATTTCCTAATAACTATGGTATGGGTACAGTAAAATATGTTTCAATTCATTATAATAGTGGATCTATTGTAAAAATCTACGAAGAATTAATGTAGGTTTAAGTGTAGGAGAACCATGCTGCGGTACTAATGGGCCAGCTTGACCAAACTGATACCACGGCCTCACAGAAAACCGACGTGAAACAACGCTGGCGTTGTGTTTCGTCATGTGAGTGAGATTACCGGAGGCCCAATTACTCCCTCCCCAATCTTCCTAATCCCTGAATCCCCAAAAATCCTCAAATTCCTAATCCCCAAAGGGCCGGTATCGCATTTGTAGCGCCTCTGGTATTCCAGGTGCCCATGGGCGGCGCCGATTACTTACCATCAGGTGATCCGTCCGCTTGTTTACCGGCTTACCCCATAAAAAACGTAAGTAGGTTCTACTAACATTGTGAGAATTTTGAACTATCCTTATTTCGGCATCATAAGTACTAAACGCATTCACAATCACAACCGAGACAGTCAATTAACTTTTTGTGCTTATTCTATTTTTAACCCATAATGCATATTATGCACTATTGTTTCACAACTTCAGACATTAAGTAAGGCAAGCTGATCTTAAGTAGAACAAAATTATGTAATAATTTTACAAGATAAATAAAACCAACAAAAATGTTTACATATCTCTTTATTTTACATATTTACAAGCATAATTACAGCTAAGTGATACATATTCAAAAACAATACAGTATATTATATTATAACTTAATTCGTTAAAAGGAAATAACAAAACGAAACGAAAGTAGACTTTCATTTGACGTAAAATAGGTTTAAAATTGTATAACAATAGGTAATGCTCTTCGAAAGATTTTTATCGGGTGATTTTTTAAATTGGTGAACTTACTTAATGGTCTTATGAAAGTTCGAGAGGGAAGAAGTGAACAATTACGTATCTTAGCAATAGACAGTACCTAAATAGCGATTCACGAAAATGAACAAAGAACTTCCGTCACACTCTCTGGAGTTAATAGTCACGCTGGTATTTTTAAAAACTAATTTTGTATTTATTTTCGAGGCTTATGGTCGGTGGACGACAATATTATTTCATACTCTTTATACTCAGACATAATAGCGACCGAGGAAAATATGTCAGCGCGGAAGAATACAATTTTACGTAATGGCAATATAATTCTTAGATGTATATCATTTAACTTAAATACAAATAGGTATAACCTTGGCAGATAACAATACAATTTAAATTTATTTAAAAAGGAACTGGATTTTTTTCGTATAAACTTATGGCGGTGATGTACCGATGTATGAAGGGCAAATGCTTAGAATATAAAATTTGTTTTTAATGTATGTTTTTTATAAAAAGCAATAAATAAGAGAGAAACAAATAATATTTATAAGCACAGGAAAAAATGAGGTCGTCTCCCTTTTAGTGCACTTAATTAGTTTAAATTTTTAAATCATTTTAAGCTATGAAATAGTATTTATATATAAAAAAATATATACTATCTCAATATTAATAGGCATAACGGATTCCCGGATTGTATCTAAAATTAAATAAGGGCTGTGTTTTTAAACTATGATAAACTTGACACTTTGACCATAAATGTCTAATTATATTTTAAATGTTTAAGATGTCACCATACTATAACTTACTAGCATTAAAATACGAAAATATACAAGTATAGAATCATCATTATTAGTATATAATTATGTCAATTGGTTGCAATAAGGAGTTTTTCATATTGTGTGCTGAAATCATTTTTACCTATTTTATTGCCCATATCATATTTTGTTTTGATTTTTATTATTATTTGTCTATTTAATATTGTAAACAAAACTGTGATTTTCCGCAAATGAATGAGAATAATCAAACAAATTCTTAGCAAAAAATAACATTGAAATTCATTATTGATTGAATCATTGTGGTGTTAATAAAACCAGGAAATAACACAGCGGCCCTTATTTTATTTCATAACCGTTAAACTATATACAGAGTGTTAAAAAATACCGCGCTGCCTGGAAAGAATTATAATTTAACATTAATAAATACTAAAAAAAAATTCCAGACCTTTGACCAAGTAGGGCTGCCTCACAGCCTCCAATCATTTTAGTATTGTATAAACGTAGATACATCTGGCACTTTTTTCTTAAACTAGTACTAAAATTAAACATCACAGTTACTACGGTGTTCGTATAGCGACATGGCTGACATGTTGCTAAGAACTTAGTAACGTTAGTGATGCCGCGGGGGAACGTAGGCTGGCCATTGGTAGACTGGTGCTCTTACTGTGCTCTGTAAACAAAAGCTATGTTAATGAAAATGAACAAGAAACTTGACATAATTACAATCTGATTTTGAATCGAGAGGCTCAATGTTTGCCATAAATGTCTCCAGAAATGCGAACACACCGCACATGCATTTAAAATGTATGTTGAGTTACAGTTCATAGTTCGCGTGATCATAACCATTGCTAACGTCATTTAAAAGTTTCTACATGATTTTACTACTAGTGCAAGTCAACTTACTTCCAAAGAATTCCTAATGTGCCGTCTCGTAGCGTCCTTCTCGTACTTCCACTGGAAATCGTGAGCAGAGTCCATGCCCAACGCTCCAGGCTCATGAATACCTTCTAACTGATTGAATTGAGCATCTTCTTGTTTAACTAGTTTCTGTTGTGGAGCATAAGCTGGGAAGAAGTACCGGAGACCAATTCCTGGCAAGCTTTGACTTCCGAGGATAGCTGGTGGGTTTGGGCGGTGAACTTGACCTCTCTGAAGGTGTTGTAGTGGTTTGAGAGGAATGTATGCGTTGACGAATCTTTGCGCATTGTTCAATTGTTGCGGTGGTGCAGGGGAGTTGTAGATAACGTTTGTGTATCTCGGGTGAGGCACGAAGAGGGGTGGTCGCCTGGGTGATATGAATTATTGATTAGACTCATGATTGCTGTTCCTAATCCTACAAATAGCTGCTGATGAAGGAAAATTCATATCTAAGACTGAAATTAGATTTGAAATTAAGTGAAACTACACTGTTATGAAACTACCAATTGCGGATCACACAAAGGGTTTCTCTGTGCGGGAATCGAACCTGCTACACGTTGCGCGACAGCCGGTTGCCTAGCCACCTCGCCAACCGTGCATTTTTTGTTTTCAGTATGAATTTACTATTACTGTTTCAGTGATAAGCAAATTAAAAGAATAATCATTGGTTGTTAACTAAAAATATATGTTTTTTTCATACCATTGAGCATTAGGGTCGGGCGTATCATTGGAGCGTTCCTCCCACACAGGCGCAGGATTCCTGAACGGTTGTGGGGCAGGAGTGGGCTCCGGCGTTGGAGGTATAATGGGACCGTCTTTAGTGCCGAACTTCACCATGATTGCGTGTGCGCTGGACGCGTACACCACCAGGCATGTCAGGAACTGGGAAAGAAAGAAAAATTTATAACATTTGGGGTTATTAGGTCATATTGTCAGGAAAAGACATGCTCATTGCTCATTTTATCATCAATGAAGATTATTTATTTACTATTATACAAATGTACTGTCATCAATTAATTTTACAATCACGCTAGTCATGAAAAGTCATCTCAGTGGAAAAACAATTTTCTTTATCATTTATAACTTTTCCAAGTGTAGGAACACCATTTGTTATTAAAATGTTTATGGTAATTTTGAAGAATTTGATTAATTTTAACTTGCTTTATATTTTTATTTTGATGACGTAATAAACCAACTAAGTATAACTGGCGTACTAAAGCATAACCAAATAAGGAATCACATAGTACATTTACAAGTGACTTCATAGTAATTTATTTGTTATCTACGAATAACTAGCTATATACGTACAAATACATACCAGAGTACATGTAAATAATAATTAAACGCTAGCAATGTTATAATTCAAACAGCTGATTATGCGTATGGCCTTCTTACTATGTTAAACTATAAGGAAGTTCTCCTAATTGTAATCTTCCTTTAATATTACATCAACATTAAAAAACACATAGGTATTGTTATAGCACTATTAATTATCATATGTGAGAAGAATGGTCTCCACCAGCCAGATAAAGGCTCGTCGATTTCAATGGACTTAAAAATAATTGTTTTATAAACTGTGATTAAAAAATCGACTTCAACCTCTTTTTTGAAGTCGGTTAATTAATATATATGTATATATTAATATATATATATATATGTGTCGTGGTGGCCCGGAGGTTTAAGACGTCTGCTTCTCACGCATGAGGGTGCAGGTTAGAAACCTGCCAACGGCAAGTACCAATGTGACTTTTTTCGAGTTATATCTACTTTCTAAGATTATTTAAACACCACTGACAAACGGTGAAGGAATAACATCGTGAGGAAACCTGGACTTATAATTTCTAATTATAAGTTTGAAATCGCCAACCCGCATTGAGCAAGCGTGGTGATTAATGCTCAAACCTTCTCCGTGTGAGAAGAGGCTTTGCTCAGTCTATATAGGATTCAATTCCGGAGTCGGGCAAAGTATAACGGGGTGGAACAAAGTATTACGGGGTTGTTAAAAAAATCTCAGTAGTAGCACGGAATTTGGAAATGTGCCCGGTATGTGGCAATAGGCTTCACTATATATGTTATGAGTCCCATGTAATCCCCTATTACAAAAGTGGGTACAATGACATTAAGTGCCGTAATGTGCGTCTCTGCCTACCTCTTCGGGAATAAAAGGCGTGATGTTAATTTTATGGAAAATGTAATAATGTATTTTATCAATCAAGAAATTGAACACAAAATCCCTTGCTCGGCAGTCCCGTTTGAGACCCTATAACTATTCAGACAGGCTGCATGCTTTTCACCCTATTTATTACAGTACATTAAAACGTCTGCTATGAAATCAAATATCATAAAACATAAAGACATTTTAGTTATTCTACAATGCCCCAAGATGGGCTAAGTACTAATCTCGGATTCAACAACATAGCTTGGCATAATTATAGCCATGCTTCTGTACTTAATGACATGTTTTCTTGCCAATGACATTGAATTATGTTACTTGCCTGTCAAAGGGCCAAACCAGTTCTTGTTATGCATCGATTACCACACTTATCGATTGAATATTCGATATTAATCATTAAATTACACCACTACAATGTAAAGATACCTTGGATGTGACACCGGTGACAAGTTAATGAATATGCGAATAAAGAAAATTGTTGCAAAGTTGTTGGCGGTAATGTAATGTCATAAGAAAAGGATTAAAGATGATTAAATATTATGTAAATAAATGAGTGCATGACAATGTTAGTTATATAGGGGAAACTACTGAACTGAAAATCTCTATATGTAAACGGAATACTCCCAAAAAACGCCGATAGGTAGTAACGAATTACCTAAATGTTTATTTTAAGGCATACCTAAGCCGGTAAACGAACAGACAGATCACCTGATGGTAAGCAATCGGCGTCGCCCATGGACATCTGGAACACCAGAGGCGTTACAATTGCGTTACCAGCCTTTTGGGGATTAGGAATTTGAGGATCGTTGGGGATTCAGGAATTGGGGAGATTGGGGAAGGGGAGGGTACTTGGGCCTCCAGTAACCTCACTCACACGACGAAACACAACGCAAGCGTTGCTTCACGTCGGTTTTCGGTGAGGCCGTGATATCACTCTGGTCGAGCCGGCCCATTCGTGCCTAAGTATGGCTCTCCCACACTTTATTTTATGTAACATGGATAACACAAAACAAAAACAATTAAAATTGTAAAACTATTTCTTTTTATCAGCGTTTCGGGAGAGTCCTGTTTACATCCTGTATAATGTGATAATAGAAAACAGTCACAGTAATGACACGATTTACAAAGTAAGCAGTTACAAGAAACAAAGCCAACATACCTAATACAAAAACTAACACCCTATTTACATGTTAGAATATATTAAAATAAACTTTAAATTCTACATAGCGTTTAAACACAAAAGAAGGCACTGATTTTATCATATTATCTAACTCGACCAATTTCCAAATAAATCTAACAACGTCGCTGATAAGGCATCAGATTAGATCACGATGAAAACCTCATTCTCATAAAACTTGCCGAGTTTCCGCGAACTGGCTTCATATTTAATTAAGACCACTTCATTCAATCAGCATCACACATCTTCATCTCATGGCCTTGACGGCTGACTTCAATGCTTATCTTTCCCACGTGAACATCTTTTACCACTACATTACCGTGGTTGCAAATAAAGACTAGTTTTTTTCACTAAATTTTTATCTATTAAATGCTCGGTAAATTGCACATTTTTAGTACCGGTCTCCATTGTTTGTCAGTTAGCACACCGCCTGTTGCAATCCTCTTTCCAAACTTACGATTATAAAGTACGAATTCTTATCAAAACATCTGGATGAATTTATTAAAGTCGAGCATCAAATGGATGGAAGGAGATTAATGTTTGTTAACAAGCAAATTCGTTCGCAGCATTCAGGGGCAGGTGATCTTCATTTAGATTAGATAATGTATCATGTATTAAACGTTTTACTAGTACATACCTGTAACCTCGCCGAGAATCTCATGTTTGTTTGTTTTTGTGTTGTCTACCTTGACATTCGTCTCTGCCCCCTGTAACAAAGTTAGAATAAATTAGGATAATTTGTCAGAACTACAAAAAGTTGATGATATTATTACAGTTATTGTATTTAAGATTGAGAACAGTGCTTGCAATTTTAATAACTAGTGTCCAAATAATTACACCCATCGAGCTTGACAAGAAATTACAGCTATCAGCACTCGACAGTCTTAAAAAAAGTTATGAAAACATACATTTACATGTTACGAAGATTAAACGGCTAATTGCAGTAATTATTATAAGAACTCTTTTGAGTTTCGAAAGTTGTTATTGCAAATGATATTACGGTCGAACATTACTTGATACTTATTGGGCGCGCATGCGCATCCTTCTAGGACACCCACCATTATTTATTTTATTGCGTTAGTGACAATGATTTTATAATTTATCATTCAATTTCTGAGCGAAAAACATCTCAATCTATCAAAAATACCATGTGAGTAGAATACATATTTTAAACATGAATTATTTTAAGTGAATGTATGATATTTTTTTTTATATTCAATTCACACAATTTCAGAGGTGGCCCGGAGGTTTAAGACGCCCGATTCTCATGCATGAGGGTATGGGTTTGAAACCTACCAACAGCAAGTCTAATGTGACTTTTTCCGAGTTATATTTACTTTCTAAGGTTATTTAGAAATCACAGACAAACGGTTCTCCGTTTTCCGTTCCGTCCGTTTCCTTCTAAGACATCGCGAGGAAACATAATTACTAATTATAAGTTTAAAATTGCCAACCCGCATTGAGCAAGCGTGGCGATTAATGCTCAAATCTTCTCCGTGTGAGAATAGGCCTTTGGTCAACAGTGGCCACTTGTAGGATGCTGATAACATTTAAATACAGGCTCACTCTTATACTTCTCCATTAAATACAGTAATCTCATTCTCAAGTCAGAAGCGAAGAAGTTAGAGGAGGGGGAGAAGAGATCTTCACAACATAAACGAAAGGTACGATCTTAGCAGTTAGAATACAGGTTTCCTAAGCCTACCTACTATATTATTATAAAGCGTTTTGAAACACTGGAAGAAAGGTGAACAAGTCGGCGTATCTTGCACGCATCACAATGCTACCAGTAAATAGAGCTTGACATTTGTATTAGCTACCTGGTAATAGTACTTTATGTTGTAACTGTTACATTATAATTTAGCGATGATACGGTTACAAGGTTGTATCTGATAAGGTTACTGGTAACAGCTTGAATTACTACGTCTTGGAATGTGGTAGTAATGTTTAGTGATGCAAAAACAAACTGAGCGTAAGAGTTCAAATGGAGTGATACCACAGCTTTATAGACAACCGGCGCGAAACAGTGGAAGCATTGCCATTCGCCGTATCAGTGAAGTTACCGAAGGCCCAATTTTCCCCTTAAAATGCCCGCTTCTCATGCATTAGGGTGCGGGTTGGAAACCTACCAACAGCAAGTACCAATGTGACGTTTTCCGGGTTATATGTACTTTCTAAGATTATTTAAATAACACTGGCAATAGTGAAGGAAAACATCGTGAGGAAACCTAGGACTCATAATTACTAATAATAAGTTCAAACCTTCTCCGGCTGAGAAGAGGCTTTGCTCAGTAGTGGGCACTTATAGGTTGTTGGTGATAACGCCGGGTTATGTCAGGATACAAATGAGGGACAGAACAAGTGACAGATACGTGGTGACTTAAATGAGGTCATAATCGAGCATAACTGAAATGTATTAAAAGTCAAGAAAAGTAAGAATCTCGTTCAAAAGGAAAGTGCATAAGACATTGTTATTGTAAATAGCACTTTAATGTAGTTCATGTACATATCCTATTACTCCAATTTGCAATACGTATGACATAAACAGATCACCAAAAGTAATTACTGTGAAGTTAACAACTATGATCTATTGCACGATATAAGGTTAGAGTTAGGGTAACTCGAATAATACAATAAATTGATAAGATCTGTATCACAATCTGAACACCGTTCTGCCATTGATCGAAGAGATATCCCATTGTTCACGGATTGGATAATGTTTTGTGATAGATTGCAATAAGTTTGGTTTTGATGGAAGCATTAGTTTTGTGTTTCAAAATAGTGTAATATCCTTACTCTGTGCAGAATTTTGTTTACTTGCTTTCTGGTAAATCTAAAACGAAACGTTGAAAAACTAGCGTGGATTAAAAAAAGATCTATACAGTAATCAAAACTTTTAGGGGTTCTGAATTCTTATACCCTTGATAATAACTTTTTTTCCACTATTTCCGTCCGAATTTTAAGTGTTATGAAATATTTGTTTAGGTACTATATACTCAGCTGTGAGTCGTAACTGAAGAAATGAATCATAAGAATTAATATCCTATCCATCAACCTAGTTTCCATTTCAGTAATAAAGAGGTCACTTATTCGCATTCGGATTGCGCCAAAAAGTATAAAAATATTGAGTGCCAATGCCCCTGTTTCGGCACACAGCTCGACATAAATTCGTGCCAAGAATACGCACGAATGTTTTGAATTTTTAATACGCGTTCAGCGATTGCCTCAACCCTATTTTAGTAACCGCGAACATATTTTATAAAAGGCCCACATTTACCATTGAATAAAAAATATTTTATTCATTAATAGTACTTATATTGAACTGGAAAAGGAGTGCAAAGAACATAAATTTTATCATCTTGAAAGGTTAAGACGTTGCTTTAAATGTATGAATCTTGCAATTTCTCTTAATGCGATTATTAATTGAATGTTTAAAAAGTATGTGAAACATGGTTCTTTACTTATGTAATGTCAGTGTAAATAATGTTGGTATTATTTTGGTACACGGTACTGGCATTTTAATGCGTGTATTTAAGTCTCATTTACTTTATGGTAACATTTGTTTATGTATTGCAATGACTTTCAATGTACCTATATGAATTAATTATTATAGGTACAAGTGTTTAAGGTGTGCCTAGTAGTCTTACATTATGTATTTATAGATTACGTTCATTATTTATTCGTTCATTATATTGAAAATGTCTCTTACACCTTTGTCATCACAGAGGTGACCCTTGTAGTTCAATCAATTTTTGTTAATAGTACCGACCTATTACTAATTTTACTGCAACAAATGACAAGCGTTCTAAAAAAATGCTATTTCATAGTAAAAAACTACAAAACTACCTTGAACAGTCAAAGAAGCGAATTCATTATGCGTTTTAATTTGTGTTATATTTGACGTTCAATAGTGTCTTCCCTGGCCTAGTTTTTAAACTCTAATAAAAATCTTTCTGTTTACCCTGTTAAATTAATCAACGCTCCATTCACCCAATGGTTGCCTGGTAGATATCGCTTTTAGGGATAAGGTCTCCCTTGTACACCTCTTATTCTTTATAAACGACGAAATAATACACTTTTAAAATTAGTTGGGTACTTGGTGTACACTAAAGATCATTTATCTATTTATTTACAAAAGAAATGAGAATAAATCAGACCCAATATTAACACGTTGAACGCCATGGGGGTCACCGGTGACCGGCGTTAGCGGAGGATTTACCTTCAACAGTTTTTTATTGGCAGTCAAAGTCTTAAATATTACGCATAATTAAGTCTATGCGTATTATTCCGCACCAGTTGTTAGTATTTGCTCAAGAGCAGTAGCAACACAATACAACGCGGTTAATCCGACATTAGTTCTGCGATCAACAGTCACGAGTTTGATTATGATAATCAATAACTAAACAGACCTTGTATTATTTCGATATTCTAATCGTTACAAGTTGGGTTGCATCTTTTGAAAGATCGTATTTGACTTTATTTTTTAAATATTGAATTGTGTATTGCTACTGATTATGAATTGAGATTGTTTAGCCTGTATGTATATTCGATTATTACTAATAGATACAAAGAGATACAACGTTTGCCCATCAAATATTAAAAAAATATGTTTGAAAGGTTGTCAAAAGTTGCTTACCATTTACACTGGCTTTATCCAATTTTTACAGTTTTGTTTCATTTAAGGTACAGTCGCCTGATAACACCCACCTAAGTAAGTAATCATAACTGCATATTTTTTAAGTGGCCCGTCTCAGAAAGCGGGCCATCTTTGGCCATCATCTTTACCTTATTACACAATTATAATAGGTTATGCTTATAGGTTTTGTTTAATTCCATACTAAAGATTACTAAAGATTACCCTTGTTTCCAGTTCATTTTAGGTACGTTTAGATTCTTAAATAGGTACCATCGTTATCCATCGTTATATAAGAATTATGCGTGCTATCAATGTGAAGTTCAATTCCTCCGTGATGCAAACATCAATTCAAGTATGATTCCTACATACATAATGATAGGCAACCTATTAAGTATTGTTTTATCTTTAATTACTCACGATATGGTAATTATGGTCACGCTCCTATTCCGAAAGGGACTAGATATAGAATCAATGGTGAGCATCAGGCAGAACTTTTAGGACGACCCCAGTTTTTTTATATTAACTTGTTAGAGAACCAGTTTCAGTATTCAGCTAGAAACTGTTGGAATATCTGTCTTTAGCACCATTCAATTAATAATATAATTTACTTAACCGGTGAATGCTAAATATTATTAAACAAAATCATGTTCATCGAAGAATGTCAGATGTGTATTCTCTATGATCTGTAATTTATTTAATTCCTAGAACTTTGTCTTTGTATCCCGTAGTAATAATAATAATCACTTGACAGCACGAAAACCAGTTAGTCACTATACAAATTCTACGTATTCCACAATAAGTAGTTTCCCACAGCAAAACCAACGCCTTTCGTGGGATGACAGGCAGCAGTTACATATAGTTTTTCACAAATTCCCACAAGCCATAGCTCAGTAAAATACGCACGTCAATTTGTTAAATTAACCAGTCTGTCCATTCCGAGCGAATATCCAACATTTATATTCGCGACGCCTAATCTTAAGAATGTGGCGACATGAAATAAGTATCATTATCGATTGGATTACAGTTCACGCGTTAGTTGCCGAGTCGATGTCAAACGTCGATCGCTAGCGA